CGCGGACGCTGGTCTGGATCCATGCTGGTCGCAAACTCACTATGTTGGTTTTGTCATGACGCGGCTCATATATGTAAAATATTACGTTGTCAGACTGAACATTCATTTATAATTTGTAAACTTTGCCAAAATAGTAACATTTTACAGTCATGGATTTTTTTTAAAAGATTAAAATAGCAACTGGATCTTTTTGATATATCACGCATTTAAATGTTAACATATGTCAAATTCAACGACAAAAACAAACAGACAAAAACATAGAAATAAGTAAATAAATGAAGGATATTCAAGAAGTTCTGAGATAATCATAATATGCCAACACTTGGCCTGACCACCCAGGCTCTTTAATCGTAAACGGACGACTTTAATGTTCTCAAATTTGTGTTCATACAGATGTAAATAAATCACAAATATTATTAAAGGTAGTTGTATTCACAAAAGCACTATATTTGCTGATGAAGCGTTTTTTGACGTTAAGTTGTAATAAATTGTTGTTATTATTGCTTCATAAAATCTAAAGTTATGTTTTCACAAAAAACAAAGTGAAAGAACACGCAAGTTAAAGCTGTCAGGAGAAAAAATTATTTGTAGGTATTAAAATGCATATTTCTTTTCCGGCCGATTAGTATATACAATAATGACAAACACCTTCATATTACGTTCTAGGTACACATGCACCAATGATATTTTTACTTACAATTGGTCAAATTAGAAAGAATTGTCTTTTGTTCTTTAGTCTCGTTTTTTTTTTTAAATCTTATCTTTAATCGTCACAAAATGATATGAAAGGAATCAAGACAGTCTTTTTTTGAAACAGTTCTACCTTATAATTGATATATTGCGTGTTGCATCTTTATTTCACAGCTTAAAATAGACACAAAGTACTTGGTTTATACAGAATCTATTTCAGATTCATTATGTAGGAATTGACATACATTGTACATGTACTTTCAAATCCGTCTTGGAACCAACCAGCACTGTGCAATAAATATAAAGTTTCTTGCTCGAGGAAACAACGACAGACGGGGTTTGAACCCATGTGGTTAACAATCATTAGATTACTAGCCCGACGCATAAACCATTCGGCCATACCGCCACACCACAAAGTACTTGACATGGTTTCTGCCTACAACTTTGAATACTGCAACCTATGCTGAGTTTTGCTTTTTAATGATTTAGTAATTAGACATCAAAAGGTGCTCAGTGCACTAATAACAAGTGTACAACTTCTTTTTAGGGATTATGGGTTCGAGCCCTACTTAGACTACGTCCTTGCTTCCTCATATGACACCAGTATTAATTAGTTCTCCTGGAACCTGACTCGAACTTCTCCTGGAACCTGACTCGAACATGAATTATTGAATATATTGCAGATATTTTTGTACATGTGTATTGCTAATAAGCTTATATAAATACAGCCAAACTAAACTCCGGTTTGTGTTTGATCCGCTGTGTTTGAGGCGTCCATGCAACCATTGTCGTCTAAAAGTTCACATCATACAAAGCAGTGAATGTACTACAAGCCAGTGGAATATGATTATTTTGTGGTTAATACCAAAACAGTTTCGGCAGTATGTAGCACGAATAGAAAAACATTTGACTGTGAATCGAGCGACCTTGGTTCGATTCCCGTACGGTGCCGGTTATTTTTGTTGTGACTGATCATGAAATTTTTTCAACGGTCTTCGCACTGTACCCTTTAATATGTACAGACGTCCCTTGCAGAAGTGATGGCAACTGGTACTGGTAAACTGCTTGAAAACCTGTCCAGGAAAGATACGGTGACTGAATCTGTGCTCTTGTGAATTCAAAGTGCCTTACTGCCGTGATACAGAGGGTAAACTACTTACATAACAACCATCAGGTCAATGAAAACAACTCGCTTTGAAATGTGCTTTCGCTGATAAATCGTTTACGCAGAAATGTATGATTTACTATTTAACTGTGACAAATGTCATTTTGATAAATAACTTTCACATATATGGAAGACTGAAATAACAGTTCATTAAGTACCATTTCAATAAAGCATACTCGGGGGGTGATTCGCCTGACTTTAAATGTTAAGTTGATTTGTTGGTGGACATTGTCTCTTTTTGAAATGAAATGTATACCGGTTTTGAAATGTGTTTGATAAAACCAGCTGCTCTAATAATTCTTTTGACATGGCAACGTCAACATTTGCCAACACGATTTTGGTTGATTTAACCTGGTGGCCTAGTTTATGACGCAAAATGACAAGTTTTAAAAGTGGATCTGTAAATCAATAAGATAAGTATTCTTACAAAGTTTGCTAAAGAAAAATTCAACTTGAAGTGTGCAAACAATGTCTTTTTATATGACCTAATAGCACAGCGTGTTTCATTCGTTTTTTTCAGGGCAATCCCTATTCAAACTGATATAAAATCTGATAGAAATATTCTGATAAAGTGCTAAGAAGATCCAATTAAAACAGCGACTTGTAGAATGTTTATATATGATCCTGGACAACGAACTCCGCATTTTATTACCGATGATCATTGTTTGAGATATCGCCAAGGTGACGTAAAGTTAATCAATAGAAACAACATCTTAACAAGAAACATTTTATAAAGATTTTATTTGACGTCATCAAGTGTATATTTAATCAAGTAGATATAGTGGTTTCAAAGCAACACATTATTTACAATTTGATAATGCACTTTTTAAGTGAACAAATGATTAAATGCATTTTTCGATTGGAATTTTAGCTAAAAGCATGTATTTTGAACTCATATTCTTTTCAATTCAAAGGCAAACGAATGTAGTAAGTTATATATACATTATAAACCGTATTTTAATATAACGTAATAATGAATTTGTTATATAAAAAGCAATTATAACATATTTTAATATAACGTAATAATGAACTTGTTATATAAAAAAAGCAATAATAACGTATTTTAATATAACGTAATTATGAACTTGTTATATCAAAGTACCTCCAAATGACTTCCTATCAAATTTCACATACTTAATTTTTGATATGATTTTGTAAATTTTGCATTATTGTGCGATTTTTGATCATTGTTCAAATTGAACAATCTCATTTTAATTTTCAGTTCAATCAGTAACGGAGTAGGAAATCTATTCAACCTCTATCGAAGATCGTATTCATCGATAAATAAAATAAGCCAAACACTCGAAGACAAAAAAATTGAAAGAATTGCATATACCAAATCTATACAGCATACCAAATTTAATATGACATCACTATGTGCGTAAGTTTCATAATGTGTTCATTTTTTATACACTATACCTTTTGGATTTAGTCCATAAAGACTGAAAGCTAATTAATTTACACTAAAATATACAAGTATGTACACTCATATCAAAATCATTTACTTGTATCTTGTAACAGTTATACTAATTAAGAAAGGCATGCTAAATTGGCATGATTACAAAACTCACAAATATCAACTAATATAGTCACTTTGTGCGAAGCTGTACATTTCTTTAGAAAAGCATCCATGTGTATCTATATACATGTACATGCAAATATCAATCAAAGAAGCAGTTTTATCCTTTACCACGCTTAATATCTGAAATAGATTCATTCATAATTTTTTATGAAAACTTTCAAAATAAATACAAACTGATTAGCAAACAGTGTAGAAAATGATCAGACGGTACAGCACGGGTGCACGGCTGATCTTTGTCGGCACTAGTCGCATTGGTAATTCAGCCGCCTCCAGCAGGCTTACGATTAATCTCTAACTAAATATCACGAAAAGGCACTGTCTCCCAATACTATTTTATAAAACACACCCACACAAAAGTTTTAAACATGAATTACTGGCCAACAGACAACGATTTTTAAACTATTAGAAACATAATATGTAAAAGAATATAAATCTGATTTTTGTATTTTTTTTGTGAATGTCAAACTTAACAAACAGATTATTTTTCATTGGAGTACTTCATATTTTACGCCTCTATCTACCCGTAACAAATATGCTGTCATACAAACAGAGAAACGATTGTGTATAAGTTTTGGCTTGAAAAGATAATGACTTAATGATAAAATTTGAAAATTGATAATTTCACATCACATGAAAACCATATTTTCATAAAAAGTTCAATTCTACATTAATGACATTCTAGACAAAGCTAGTCAAAATCATAACAACCTAGACAAAACAAGTCAAAGTCATAACAAATCAGCATTCACTGATATAGAACACTGTTAATTTGTGTCAAAATATGACTTGCAAAAATTCAATAGTTTTTTCCTGTATTTCCAAACACGCAAGTGTGGTTTTGTCGAAGCATCACTTTCTGAAAACAACTGAAACAAACACACGCCAACCTCGGGCTTAAACATCGGGTTTTATCCCTTTTAAAGTAACTCTCCTTTTTTTATTAAACAAATCTCTTACCCTTTTTACACAAAGGTAAAGGTGTTCTTCTGGAATTATTTTAATATTCACAAAAAGCAGGTTTCCCGTTGAAGGTCCGTTTCATTAGAATCTTTTTCTTAATACATCTCGCGCTACCATTTTCCGTTAAAAAACGCAGTTTTCACTGGGAATATACATGCTTTTCTTTTTGTTTTTTGTTAAACCGATTGTCGGTAAAGCATTTTCCCCTTTTTTTCTGAACATCGGTCTTGGCCCGTGCGAGGGTTTTACACGATTACGGGCTTGAACCTAGACTTTTTTTCAATTAAACACTCTTGCCATGCCAGTTTCTTGTTATTTATTTCAATTTTTTCCCTCTGATTTCACATTATTGGTTATTGGAACGTCATTCACATTAATTTTGGGTTTTAAAAGAGTGAGTTCCTTATCAGTATACATCGGGGGTGGTTTATTGCGATGTCACCTAATTTGGGGGTCGCGTTTCCATAAGGCAGGTTATTTATCATCTCGCCCCTTTTTTGACTGAAGGGGGTTGGGTTTAAAATAATTTTTCGTGATGTATTTTCATTTACAAAAGTAAAAAATTTACTTTGTCAAAAGGTACTTCTTCTTATCACATTTTAATCACAGCGCTCCCCTTTCAAGAATTTCCTTTTCCTCATCTTTCTCTGAAACAGGAAAATTTTGTCTGATTAAATAGTCATTCTTTAAATTAATTACGACTGGGTTTAGTTGATAATGTACCGATCAAGAAATATAATGCGAAAATAAATGTACAGAATGTCCATTCGCTGAGATTTTTCATGAAATATATACGTGTGTTTACCATATTTTAATATTGATTTAAATGTTTTTTTTATATATGATCATGTTCTTAGTCTTTCATTACTCTTTTATTTAGAATGGTTTTGTACGTATTTTTCTTTTATAACTTGATATTGTTCATGTATGTACACAAGTGAGACTTGAATAAACAAATTATCTTGTTTTGTCTATAAATTTTGGGTAGACGTATGTATAAAATTTTTTTTGTAAAAAATCAATATTTATCAAAAGTTTTCAAAACAGTCATTTAGACTTCGCAAGAAAAACAAGAGATCATTCAGCTATTTCTAAGCAATTGTAACTTACCTATATAGTTTGTGTTGAAACACTTGTTGTACAGATCTGATATCCGAATATTGTTCTGTGATAAGTCAAGGTAACCCTGAAATCAGAATAGCATGTCTATAAAACTATTTTGTTCTTTATAGCCGTACAAATTAACCAGCATTGCTTTTGTACAATTTGGTAACGCTAACTTCTGTATATACATGGGAAAAACAGTGAGCACTCCTGACGTTTTACAATAATTGTGACTTTTATACAGAAACCTTGACATTATCTAAATGTATATATATATTGCCTGTATTAGCGCTACGAGTAATGTTTAATAATTGTATTCCGTCTGTGTCAGATGTTTAATATTTATTCGGCCCTCTGTTCCATTTGTTAGCTGGTGCAGCGGCATATTGAATCATCTGCAATTTGTAATGCGTTAATAATGATATTTTGTCTTCTGAATCAAATGTCTGAGTGCTTAACTTAACTTAAGGTTTTGACTGCCTCCCTCTCGCCATCTTTGTATTTTGGCGACACAAATTTCTTAATTCCATTATATCTGTATGACTGTCATTGACTTCTTTCAACATATTTAACTAGTTTGTTATTCAAGGGATGTTCTTTCTTTGTGAAAAATGTGAACGATTTGTTTTAACTAAACTAAATATCTTCTTATCATTCATTTATTTTATTATAGAGATGCATATCTTCACAGGACAGACGAATCTTTTGAGTGAGAAATAAGAATAAATCACAAATTTTTAATCTTGATGTAAGGCTTGTCCAGATATTTTTTTTTACATTCATAACACATTGTATATTTGATCATATATAGAGTGATCTATAATGGTTGACGCACGCACACGCAATTTTATAATTTATAAGAACATACTTGAAAATGATCAATTGCATGTCTGACATATAATACACCTGACAGGTTGTTATCTTTCCTGAACCTATTTGCACTTATTTTGGTCTGAAATTATTTTCGGATTGAGAATCTCTTCCAACTTGTTGAAAGATACTGCACTTAAAATTATTTTTTTAGAATGAGGTATTAGAAGTTTTATTAAGAATAGTTTAATGTACTGATACTGATATGTAACACGAAACAGGATGAAAAAAAGCTAAAAGTTCAATGAATAAAAAATCTTCAATATATTTACCTAACATTAATGTTAAACATTGTTTTTACATATTGTAATACCAAACAAATGCTAGAAATATGCATGCATTACCGTTTTCTCTTGCAGTATTCTATCAAATATTTTGGCTAATGTTGCAAAGGAAGGTCTGTCGGCGGCGTCAATTTTCCAACATTTCTGCATCACTGCATACCTTTTAATATTAAAATGAATTTGTTACATCTACCTACGACTGCAGTATCATACAGTAAAATGTCAAGAAATATTTTTGAACCTGGGATGGAACTCGATAACAGTATCAAATTAATCGTACTATATGTGCATTAAGATACAAATAAAAAATTTGAAAGGTTTCTTCCTTTAACTAAGGTAACCAAAATTGAATACATTTGTAGTTATAATAAAATTGGATACAATGTAGGAAAGTCAAATTTCTACTCCTACTGAAAGTAGATACAAATGATATATAGAATGTGAATGGAGTAAAAAAGTAAAATTTACATTTCATCTTGACAATTTTCTGGTCGATCCATACGATATCCTCCAATCAACAAGTTATACAATCTTTCAGGGGGTATACCAGGGTATGGTGGGGCTCCAAGTGTCACCAACTCCCATAAAACGATACCATACGACCAGCTATAAATTATAGAAACATATGTTGTTAAATACTTTGTTCTTCACAATTTGTCACTTATATATACATAAATACATTACAGCACTTGATGGTCAGCCAGTTACTTGTTAGATCAAAAAAATATATCCTGTATTACGCTGGTCTGTATCTAAAATAAAGACTTATAAAACGCATACACGTATATACATGTATATCCATTGTTTTATTTAAGAGTGACATTCGTTTGAATTTTGTTACTTAGACAAATTATCTTATATAATAAAAATGATTGTTAGGTCATGAAATATAATAAAACACTATCAAGGCAAGTAATTCTTATTAAATGTTGTCTTTGCTAATGATAATTCAATGTCATCTCTATTTGCCATTTGTATTTGTATACATTCGGATTGAATTTTTGATGAAAAGTTAATTAAGTATGCAACAAGTAATTATTAACTAAATATCAACAGTACAACTACAATTTTAACAATTCTTTTTTTAAAAAAAGGACATCTTTAATAACGGAACAAACAAGATAAACGGGCCAATGAAAGCTTTTCTATCATAAACATGATTTTGTTTAAAAAAAAAGAAATTTGGTGTAAAAGTATATAATTACTGAGGAGAAAATATTAAATGAATATACATGTATGTACAGCCATTCATCCAATGTAAAAAAATGTTTAAGATTATTTTCAAAATATATTGCTGCATGCCTAACAATTGTTACATAATGAACTTGACATTTTATTTTTTTTATAGGAATAGCGGTTATCTGAAGCATGAAAAAAAACGAGAAAAAAGTCTAAAAATGACTGACAGAAAATATAGATGTAAAAATATATATCTTATGTAATAATGTTTGTGAGAGATACAAATGTTATAGCGACTCATTTTATAATCTTTCTACTTTTGAAAACCGTTTCTAATTGTAAATGAACCAAATTTAAGACATTTAGTACATTGTAGTAATACAAGGTCATATTAAATGAAAACAATAAAATATCTCACATGTCACTTCTGGTGGTGTATATCTGTGCATACAGAGATTCTGGTGCAAGCCACTTTACCGGTATTCTGCCCTGAAATTATAGTTTTGTCATCATTATTTAAAATTATATCAGAAAACAACACGTCTATGTTAATTTAACTTAGCTTGTATCTTATGATGGTATATTTGAATGACCTTGAACAAAAGTAAAATATCATATGATGTAAAACATTTAGCGTTTACACCATATTTTATAGTTTTCATTTGTAACGTTGATTTATTTATACATCATATTTATTTGCCATGGAAACCTGAAATAACACCATTTAGTAGATTGAATTTCCTCGCTAAAGTAAGTTAACTGACAACAATATGTGTTATGTAATATACATGTATGTGTTTAAAATGGTAATACAAAATTATTCTTTTGGGCGTCCGTGGCCGAGTGTTAAAGGTCGCTGTGGATTCAAATCCCGACAGGGACTTTTGGATTTTTCATGTGATGAAACTATCCAGATAACTAACGTAACGTCGGTGGTTCTACTCAGGTGCCTGTTAGCTATAGTGCCTGAAATAATGCACGGAAGAGCACCTGAAGTCTTCCTTCACCAGTAAAGCTGGAACGCTGCCATATGAGCTATACTGTGTCTGTGCGACGTTAAACCCAATGAAACGAACATACAATCAAACAAAACTATTTTATCCTTTTAACTTACTTTGCTCTTTTTGAGATATGTATCTGCCTCATACACATCACGGGTGAGTCCAAAGTCTGAGATTTTTAACACTTTACCAGAAGCAACGAGGATATTTCGAGCGGCTAGATCTCGATGAACCAACTGAAAAAACACAATAAACATATTTATTTTAAAAAAATCGTTGAAAAATATGAGAAATATATTACATATATTGCTGAAATTAATATTCTCCCTTGCAATTATAATTTCGATTACATAACCGTTACATAAGCTACATTCGAAGACAAACATCATGTGCTCCTTTACTTTTTACTTGGACAATATATGACTACATATGGGCCATTCTGGTTTATTGATTCTTATAACGTTACGAAAATAACTCTCTCAGTAACTATTTACGTCGTAATTTACATAATGTTTCTTAAATGCCAGTTTTAAAACTTAATGCAAAAATAATGTTTTTGTCATAACACATGGGGTGAAAACGCTACTTTTTATACATTATAGTTAGCATGTGGTGAGACATTCAATTTTTATGTTTTATGTAGCTGTAGCTTCATTCTATTTATCATGTTTAACAAATTTACCAGACATGCTCAATCACATGAACAATTTATTATACATATTTACCTGTATAAACAGGTATAGTCTAATTAATGTACATGTTATTCAAATTAGAAAATCATATTAATACATGCTACATAATGCCTGAACAATAAACACCTAATCATAAGTCGTGTACGATGTACAACAATGTTAAATTTAAAACCTTGTTGTTTTTTTGTTAAGACATGTCATACCTTAACAAATAATACTTCAAAAACAACAATAACAACAACTATAGTATGAGCCACATATATGCAAGTATATATATCATAGCGCTATTAATCACATGTTTGGAAATGTTCAAACGTATATTGTTAAGATTGACAGGCTGCCTGAGGATGCTCTACAAAATAATTGTACGATTAAATTATGTTTCAGTTTATTTAGCTTTTGTGTTAAAGGAATATGATAGAGGGCTTTTCTTATGAATAATTTGAAACATTTGAAAATAACAATTTTAACAATGAAAATAACCATTTATGCTGTTTTAAATCATGTTCAACATCAGCGGTTATGTTTAGTGTCGCTAAGCTAAAATAGCTTTGTTGCTATTATATTTACCTTTATTTCGCTTAGATAACTCATGCCTTTGGCTATTTGCCATGCAAAGGAGAGCAGATCCCGCATACTGAGCAAGTCCCCATTTAATTCCGGGTCTGTTTGTTCCTTTACGTTGGGAGACTTCAATCTACCGGATACAAAAATAGAGGTTTTAGATTGGACGTTAAATGAAAGGGATCATAAAATCAAACATCCGTATGAGTTTTGAACGTAAATCAATTTTTATAATTGTATGTTAAACATAAATTTCTCAAAACTATTTATCTTTGTGACAAACTTCATATTAATTATTGCACTTCATAATACACATTTGTCTCGCGTATAACATACATGCCATTATTAAATAGTTGTATGGTTTTGTTAAGACAAATGAGCTTAATACGTCTCAATGATTGTCAAATGTAGCTGGCATTGAAAATTCTAATTGATAAGAACGCGCTAAAACTAATACGCGGATCATAATTTATCCACTTTTATCGTCAGTTTTGACAACTGAGGACTTATCACTCAAACTTTAAAAGGAAGATGTACGACTTGGATAAAAGTATAAATCGACAAAGAATAGTAGATCAAGGAACCCTGAAGGACAATGCAATTTTTTGTGTGTTCCAATATTCTACTTTACTCCAATAAAAAACAACATAAAAAATGACTTTAAAAGGTTAATATTTATATAGTTTACATAATCAATTTCTCTATAAATCAGATACTTAGAGATCTTATCCATTATATTATGATCTACCATGACATTTAGCCTACTTATTTTGTTGCAACGGTTTCAAAGGTGAAGGCGATTGAATCAGGAACATTTAACATGATAGATGTGTTTATCAGGACACTATACAAGGTAAATAATCAATCAAACCCAGCAAATTATTCAATGCCTTATATTTGATTAGGAGTTTCAGTTAATTTACCTAACAGCAGAATTCACGTATCCGTTCTCTTCTAGACGGCTCCGACGAAGATACTTCAACAGACATCCATGTTGACAAAATTCAACCACCAGATAAAAAGGCCCTGCAGATAAAAATATCGTTTTCTTAAAATAAAATTCTAGCAATTTAAAAAATGTTTGAATTATACAAGATGTGATGTGGTAAGTCTAGTAAAGGATTATTTTAATAGTGTTAATATCCTTTATCTATGCAACTTTATTCATGCATGTTTGTAACTGTACTTTTAATAAGTCACAGGTGTGCAGTTTGTGAATTATAATGTTATATAATTTGTTAAAATGTCTTTTGCGTGTAAAATTCATCACTTTAACTACACTAAACCGCAACATTTCATCAGCATTACGCCAAATGCGAGATAGAAGACAATGGTATGGAAAGTAAGACATATTCAAGGTCATACCGTCAACAGTGCACGCGCCAACCAGACGAACAACATTTGGGTGACTAACGTCCTTCAAAAGGTTATATTCTGACCATAAATCTTGCTCTTCCAACTGCGTTGAACAATCTACAAAATGTGAGAACATAAATTTATGCCTTCATTTTGACATTATTAACATAATTAATTTACTTTCAACTAGAAATTAATATCTCAAAAATAATCGAAACTCAAATTAGTATCGTTAAGAAATGGTTGAGAGAGAGAGCGAGAGTACAAAATGTAAATCCAATTAAATGGTTGAAATTTCATATTTAATACAGCAATCATCTTAAGAAAGTGTGGGTTTCTATGAACCTGTTTGCAGAAAATGTTGGGGTCGTTGTCAAAGTACAGTCACTGGTTTGCATCAGACATTCACCTTAGAAAATTCAATAATAGCAACACACTTAAAGCACCTTTTTACCAAACAATTATTTATATCACCTAGCCTCCGCGCAGTCTGATCAGTATCCATGCTGTTCGTTTACCAACTCTATTACAAGTGGAGAAACTGATAGCGAACAGCATGGATTCTGATCAGACTGCGCGGATGCGCAGGCTGGTCAGGATCCATGCTGGTCGCAAACGCATTATGTTGGTTTTGTCGTGACGCGGCTCAAATCAAGTGTAGTATCTTACGTTTTAACATTTTCACTGCCACATTACGGACACCCTGATCTTCACTTGTCATTCTAGCTTTAACAACAAGGCCAAATTCACCCTCTCCGAGAGTTTTCTCTAGTGTTAACGAATCTCTAGGAATCTCCCAACGCTCGCTATCCTCGTACTGTAAATGATTTAACAAGAAAAATAAATTTTTAAAACGGTGCAACAGAAACAATCAATTAATAATGTACACGTGTAAAAGTGCTGAAAAAAGACAATTATACAAAAGGAAAATAAAATTAATTAATTTTTGCCAATTAAGAAGCAATTAATATAATCAAAGTTCTAAGATTTCTGTGTATTTTGCGTTTTTATTTGTTTCTGTCTTTATTGTAAAAAAGGTAATATATATCACCAACAGCAATTTTGTCATAGTTACACAATCGAAAAAGTCTAGACTTAAATTTGAAAATCATGTCATATAAAATTGTCATGTCAATTTGTACCCTATGACTGTAATTCCGTTGGTAATTAATGTTTAAAATGATGCGTGACATACAAATGTTGTTGTATGCATTAGTTACGACTGATACAATTTGCACATAAAGAAAAGAGATACAGGAGATTATCCAAGACCTCATATCAACTTGACGAAGAAACGGGAAAACATAGTCGCTGCCTAAACAGACAGCAACAAAAATGTAATTTATAAACCAAAGAAAGTTTGACTTCTTACCATGTACTGGATTTGTGTAGAATAGATGGGACCTTTTTGTGACCAATGATCAGAAGAGTAAGAAAGTCTTCTTTCACGTTCATCCTGGTAGTCAGAAGGTAATCCAGATATAGACACTACACTTCCCACGTGCTTTAAAATAAAATGCTTATACGTGAATTAAGGGCTTACAATACTGTGGCATTACAAATAATAATATGCATGTTTTTTGTCATTCTATGAAACAAATTTTAATTATTTGAACTATTCATATTTGCTATATATGCTTTGTCTTATCGCCAGATGTTATTATGTTTTATTCAATTGATTGTTTCAAAAACTTGACATACACATAATCTTCTAATTGTAGAAAAAGTGGGTTTCTTATTCGGAGGTTGCGAGTTCGAAAAGCAACAGAGGTTAGACTTTTGTTAGGATTCTTCTAACCACACCGGTGTAATTATTACTTAAACTGCCGCCAAACAAACAAACAAGGTGTGAATGAGCAAACAAATAAACGGGCTTCAGGTAATTTGAAATGATTTCAAAAATTGTTGTTGCATACCTTCATGTTTGTTTTCCGTCTGTCGTTTTTCTTCTTCGTGAACCACAGCATGAACAGTGAAAACGTTATCAGGAAAAACATGGTTATACCTACACCTATAGCTACTCCACACACCTTATCACAAATAGGTGGCTGGTCAGTCACAAGAGCTGTAAAGGTAAATATACAACTGCTGTTTAATCCTAGGTACATTTGTTTCTGCGATATGATGTCTTTGTGGTCGAATTTGAAAGCATTTGTTTAAATACCTTTAAAGAACGCATAGTGCTTATGTTTAGACTAGAGATGCAAGAGATGTTGTACTTTAAAGTCATTGTTTCATATGAATGTTCAAACCGCGTCAATATTTTTCTTTATTGTAAAATTGTAGTCAAACATTTCGCAAATATATTGGAAAGGGGGACAAAAGTAACGACTTATACATACAATACTTTCTTTCGAAAAAACAGAACCGGAAGAAATTTTCAAATATGCTAGACAATGTAGTATGATAAATGTCATATACAATGTATTGACAAATATGAACTGACTTATGTGTCGAATGTTTAGTTCTGTGAAAAGGGTAACCGGAAGAGTTCTCTTTCAAAATATGTCAGACAATGAAGTGTTATAAAAGCCATATCTTGACTGACAGCCTAACAAATTGTCATTGTCTTATACCAGGAAATGCAGCATTCACTAAAAGGTAGTAAAGACATAAGTATAATAGCATAAGCCTTTAGAAGATCCTAATCTCGATGTTTTTTCTCTTTTCTCTGATATAAATAATTTTAAAGTGGTCAGGGGTAATAACCGGTTTACTCGCACTTAAATTGTCTACAAAGGTTGTCTGCTCATGCTGTATAAAGGTTACAGCCATTTTTTTTGCATTCGAACAATTTAAATATCATCAAACCTATTGTTTATGTATTGTTTTAATTCAACCAAAAAATAAGATACATATGTGTTCGTAAATTCTTTATATATGTGAATTTAGATTTTGATTGATGAATGTTGTTCTTTAAAGTTTACGTTAAAAATGATGAATGACTTAACGATGGACAAGTCAATTTACGACATTAACCTTGGTTATGGTAAAAAGTAAATGTTAATTTTGAATGTTACCTATGGTATCGGTATGATAAGTCTCATTCTCAATCTGCGTCACGGACTGTGGTATTATTGATTTAGGTGTCTTTTCGAAGTCATATCTCATATCATTCTCTGTAGATATCTTTGACGTTGCTACACTTGGTCTGTCTGATTGTACAGGATCAGGGGCTTCTAGTCCATTCTTAAATATCAATATTAGAGATAATGTATCGAAAACAAAACTGGCAACAGTAATTAAATGAAATATTTGATTGTATATCTTACAACAATTTGAGTACTTAAGTTTAGCAAAGAAGTCGAACGACAAACATCTTTCTCATTCCCGACATATTATGTTTTAAACACCAAGAAACAACATAAAATTTAATTAAGACTGCAGTTATAAGTGCCATATCAATAATTTTATAAAGTGACACCGACTGAATGACAAATACTGATTTTGCTGTGTACGACAAATAAGAAAATTAAAGAGTTACTAGGTAACATTTTAGTTAGCATAATAATGTTTTCTATAAAATTGATGTAATGTTGACTCTGAAACATTTCTATTTATGTTTCTATGGTGATAGACAAATAATTCAATACAATAATTACCTTAACAGTTGTATTAACATTGAAACCAGGTTTCGGTTCGTGTGGTGGCATACATGTACAGTAAATCCCATTGTCTTCTTCACACCAGCAAGGGCTCTCAGCCATCATAATACCGCGAGGATTTCCTAACAAATAAGCCCCTGATACCTCGGCTGTAAACATACAATTTTAGGATCTATATAATTCTACGCAAAAAATTCAGATGGTTTGAAAAACACAGTTATTAAATATAACAAAATATTCCTACTTAAAATGTTTAGGACACATCTTAATAGACCATGTTTAGTTTACATATATTTGAATATATGTGATTCTAAAGAATAAATTATTTTCTAAAGAGCTTAAATAAAAGGATGTTGATAATGTTCGAATACAGCTTTACAGCTTATAATGTTACACTTTCTTTTACACGTACATTTCATGAATAAACCAAGTTTGTGATCTGCTTTCGTAGCTGTAAAGGTATTTTCCTGTCCTAGAATTATATGAAATGCAAAATTGTGTAACCCTATCAAAGAGAAAGAAATACAATAAAAGAATATTAAATACATGTAGTATACATACTAGTACAATCTTGTGGACAAAGGTGGGGAAATCTGTTTTCAAGCTCATCACACACCAGATTGGGACACGTTGCAATTTCATGAGTGCATGTACCATAATTTTTTGACATGCGCGGATTTCTTTCACTTCCACGCATTACACATCCTCCAGAAGTAAGCCCAACGCCACATGCCCCGGAACATGACTGAGTGGAGTCATGTACTGAACAACCTTCATCTAAAAGGAAAATATTAGCATGTGTCAAGCTCTATATAATCATAATTCTTGTATATTTGTGAATATATAAAACACTTTTAAACTTTTTTTCTGAGAAGTCTATTAAATTTATCTGAAAAAAAAAATGATCAAGGATAGGTTTGTATTTCGCTATAACAAACTTTAAACTTTATTAGATAAGTTATCAAGAACCAAACTTTAATCATCAGGACATTTTTGTCGTTTAATTGATAGCCAGAAACGCAGTCAGAAGGCTTCTGGAATGTTTTAAAGACATTGATTTTTGTATATTTCTCCGTCGTGTTCCAAATCAACCTAGTTTTGGTAAGCGGAGAAAGTATTTCGTCATTAAATTCAACTTTGTAATACGATCATCTCTTATTGTTTGATAATCGGCCTGTTTTTATTTGAGCCGCGTCACGACAAAACCAACATATTGCGTTTGCGACCAGCATGGATCCAGACCAGCCTGCGCTTCCGTGTAGTCTGATCAGGATCCATGTTGTTCGCTTACAAACCCTATAACAAGTAGAGAAACTGATAGCGAACATCATGGATCCTGATCAGACTGCGCGGATGCGCAGGCTGGTCTGGATCCATGCTGGTCGCAAACCCATTATGTTGGTTTTGTCGTGACGCGGCTCATTTATACTCACCACATGATATGGAGTTTCTACCGCTTCCCTGTAAAGCAACATCAATTGCAATATTAGGTCCATCATGAACTACAACAGTCATTGAATGTCTGGAAGGTGCGGCGGCAAGGGCAGCTGTGTTCTCAACATAAATGATGCCAGACCTTGGGGTTATACCAAAGATTTCATCTCGAAGTGTATATTTAGTGCTAATCTCCCCGGCACCATTGATAGTGTGTAACTGTTCAAATAAAATAAAAACAAAACAAAAATAAGAACAGCATACTATTAAGTGTTGCGATGGTTATAATAAAACGAATAAAAAGTCTTATGTTAGTCATCCCGAAGAAATGATATTCAAAGCAAAACATACCCTTGCAAGACGTGTTGCATTCCTGAAAAATGATAACGCCAGTGTCGATTTAAAAGACATAGATGGAGGAGAGTCATCTAACGGCTTGTGTATGTTTATAACAACCGTAGCCTGAAAATAAAAAAAAAAATACACATGTAATTCAATGTCGAGAGCGAACAATTTTTTGACAATTTTTCAATATATTGTAATGCATTGCTTTCATTTTACCACGAAATTATCGTTTACCAGCTATTCCTAGTGATCACTTTTTATTTGGTAAAATTCATTACATTTAAACATTCAAGCAAATTTTAATTGCTGAATCCTAGTGGATAAATGAGCATTTAATAAGAGGATGAAAAATATGAAGCACAAATTAACTTGAAATTATGTATCCAAATACCAACCAAATAATTAACGCAAAAAAGCAGTTATTTATTATACACCAAGTATAACAAAATATCTCAATGTACTAATATCAGAAAAATCTAATTATTACCGAATTGTTCATCTTGGAATCAGATTGAATCATATTCTCATCAACAACAGCTATTTCACATTTGTACAGAGTGTCAGTAATGTAGTCAATGTTCTCTAGATGAATACCTGTAAATAAATAAAAAAATGCATTAAAGATATACACCAAACAATCAATTAAAATACAGCATATTTGATCGCCTTAAGAACAAAATGAAACAAATAAGGCATCAGACAATACTAACTACATTAAGAGAAATATAACGATAAAACATAATAAGTCATCGTAAAATCACATTTTTATAAAGTTCCAAAATATGAAAATAATTCGCACCAAAAAGGAAAATGCACCATTGTGTGTTTATCTAGATTAAAACGAGACTATTTATTTATTTGTAATATAATCTTTAGGATACGAAATTTATATATTCAATGGATAAAGGCAACAACAATTCCTATTTTTTACTTTCTTTTACTTTTATTTAATTATAAGGGACACGAACAACCAGTTATAAAAAAGCAATCGTAAAAGAAATCCATTGCCGAAAAATTGATATCTCTAATTCGAAATGCGTGTTTCACAATTATTGTGCATTTCGTAAATGTATTGTCGATACAATCAAATTATCAAAATTTTTAATGCATTACTGCAAATGTTTGTCATATTTTTGTCAAGTTAAAACATTTGATCTTAGGATAAAAGTTTCTTTGAAAAAAAAATCTCAATAAAAAATTGTCATTGGAATAAACCTAAGCATAATTTTGTTTTCATCTTACAAGACAACTTTGAACTATCTTTTTGCATATGTTTTAAGTAAATGTAACGACATACCGTTCTTGTAAATTATTTTTTACAACAATTCATCTTTAGCTTCTTTTCACTTTTATACTGATATTTCTTTACTATATTTGTATCCTATTTGATAATCACGTATATCAGATGCTTTTATTTTCTTCAATTCTAAACAATATAATATATCGGCGATGATATTCCTGTCAAACTGATCGATAAGACTAAGAATCAGCAGTTTTTATTCTAATATCTATATAAACATCGTTTTGTTCTACGTCAAAAATAAGCTGATGATACTATCAAATAACAGTTGAAATATAATAAAAAGCTTTAGTATAAAAACAATGACGTAAATTTATGGGAACACAGTTGGTTGCCTCTGTTTGAAACAATCAAACAATCATCGGATTCGTTAATATGTGTTATTCTCCGGCATAATCAACTTATAATGTACAAGTGTATAATAGGCTCATTAAAATCCCAGAAAGTAATAGCCCCTTAATCTTTGCGTAACGTATAAAGTAATGTACTGATATTCAATAAGCACATTACTCTGTCATTTGTTACTTTTAATCAAACGATAGTTGTAAACACATTCCAATCCAGCACACGGATGTAAACGTGCTTACTTAAATTTAATATGATTGTTTTTGCCGTGTCCACAAGAACGTCAGGTTTGAATAAAGTCAGCTGTTGCGACTTTAATGATGTCAGCAGAAAAACTAAAGTGGACAAAACACGCACATAGACACATTTCTCTTGTAGTTCATTTCAATATTTTTATCAATTAATCTTCTGAAATAATAATGCTGAATAATTGAGAAATATTATGTAAATAAAACAAGTTGGCCTATATTAAGAACTCATATCTTAAGCAGAATTTAACCATTCCTTCTACATACATATTTTGTTAAAATAATCTTTTAATCTTCTTTTTTCAATATTTAGACAGCGTTAATTATAACAAAGAGAAAAAGGAATGCCTAAAGAACGCCTAAAACGGCAAAATTTAAAATGTTGCTGTCTTGGTTTAATTACGCCTGTTGATGTACGATAATGGAAATTGCAAGCTACTGTATGCTACTGCCAACACCCGCCGCCTAGTTCCGGTTAAGAGGAATTTAACATGTAAACATGAAAAGTTTGAATTTATTAAGATCGCAAGAAAGAGAATGCATGTGCACTAAAACTGTAAATGATGCGCAGAACTAAGTAAAATGATTTTTTGACAGGCGATAATCATTTTCGGGTTTGCCATTTAGAATATTGATACTTGTATTTGCTTACATTAACAATTCTTATCAACATAAACGGTTTTATTTAATGTCAAATCAGCAACGTTACTTTTTAAAAACATTGTTTAATCAGCCATAAGAAGAAAAAAGTTTCATTCATCAACTACATGTTTGCCTTTTACTCATTAGGGTTCTTGTTAACGTTTAATGCATGACTATAACAAAGCTATTTAACTGTTTAAATAAGGAAACAAAAGCTGTTTGATTTCCATTTTGCTCTTATTGCTTCTGTGTTTATGATAATAAAACTCAGTTGTCGATCTGACAATGTATTCAGGGGATTATATTTCAATCAGAGCCCAAAGACTTCTGCCTAAGAAAATATTCACATTGTAATTCAATACATAGAAAATAAACCGGCTTTTGTAACTTATCATACTTGTTGAGTTAATGCAGACTATTTGACGTCAAAATGAATTGAAATATAACCATAATGATAATTGAGTTTTGCCTATTAAAATGTATTAAATAGTACAATAAAAAAAGATACTATACTATACGAATGTGTAGGTTTTGAAATATCAATTATATTTAAAAGGTTTACTCACTTTAATATAAAATACAAAAAAAGCTCTCACGTGTTCGAACATGCGGTTTACATTTTTCTTCTGTTAATAGTTTGAGAATACACTCCTATTTTAATTATTTAAAAACAACATTTTTTTACGTTGCAGTGTAATTATTAAGAATTTAAAAAGAAACATTTTAATATTAACTGAACTGCTGAGTAAGCTTGCATGTCATTCCGATAACGTGTTTAAAGTTACTGAATCGACGCTACAAACATTAAATTCAATTGATTTATACATGATTTAGGCAACGTGGCTGAGGTAGGGCTGTTTTGACGTAATAGGTGCGGCACATGGCGATTTTTCTCTGCATGTTGCACTTAATAGCTACCCTCGAACAATGGTATAAGTTGAATACTTGGCATTTATTTTGAGGGCAATACATATAACGTTAGTTTATTAGTATTTCCAATATAATCAAACGTTATGACCTAACAATGAATACTTTCTTAAACGGTATTTTATAATCGATTTTAAACACCTTGGCCTTTTAAATTAATATAAAAAACCTCATTATTCTATATCTTTGAACCTTTTCACTTCTGAGAACTGAATAATAGCCACTAAACCCAGTATTATAACAGTTCAAAAACAAAGCAAACTTTGTAATTTAAATTTTAAGGTTAACATGATTCTATTTAATGGTGTTTACACATTTAACTCTAACTGCCTACAAATTGCCTTATTTAACTGCAAAGTTTAATTAAAGCACATGTAACAATTACGTCAGGTGTCTACCGGGCGTTTTAGAATTTCATTTTGGTGTCACGTTATAGTTAAAAGGAATGTGAAGGTCTATTGGCCGTAATGCTCTTATATATACTTGTGGACATCACTTTTTACAGACAATTTTAGATTAAGGAATTTCATCTTGACAGACTTTTTAGATTGTGTTATTTTGATATCTTTCATTAGATCCCCGTTAACGAATTCCGACAGTACTGATCTGTCTTAAATACAGACAATGTAATTGATCGGTAGTAGACCCCCTGTCACCGTTCATGCTTGCAGAGAATATTTTCAAATAATTGTCAAATAAACTATTCTCAGAACACGATAACGCAAGACAGTCTTGTGTATAATGTTATTACTTTTAACCTCTAATAACATTTAACAATGTATAATTTAAGAATAAATAAATCCTTTAAAAATCGCATGGAATTTTTTAGATGTAACTAAGTAAGTGGTTTAATGTATTGGTTTACCCTTAAGTGTTTATAGAATTTAATTGCATCTTCTATAACAAGTCATAACAGCTCAAAGAACAATGCTTATTGGCTACTTAAAAATTGTTTCTAATAGGTAAATAATGAGAAACGTTTACAAAATGGCATGAGCATTGACATGTGAATGTTTTAACAACTCTCGATGTACTTAAAAACATGTGCTTGAAACATTGACTGTACATTTTCAAAGCATATGATCACACAATTGTATATTCACTTTTATTAACATAAGAAAATAGCCCCGGTGGAAATTGATCACATGTTGTCATCATTTCAAACGTTTCCAGACTTTACAATTTAAATTATTTAAAGTAATTTACGGACTCCCTGATGTTGTGAGTAACCGTCACGTTATCATATTGTAAGGAAATAAAGTGAAAAGAAATGGTCGAAATGTGTTTCCAGTTCACGTCTGAAACTTAAAATGCAGTATCAAGTCACTTTGTTATTTGTCTTTAAACAAACCTTCGGATTGATTTGTATTGTAAAAACAAAAATTAAGCAACAAAAAAAAGAAGAAAAAAAAAGAATCATTTATCAGCACCAAATTTACGGCACAGTTGAAAATCTCGCAAGCTCGGTTTGATTGAACCTGTGCATGGACGGTAGTGGTTAGTGCATGCAATCGTCTAAGCCCCCCAACCACCAGCTAAAGCAAAGTTCAACATTTGAATATGACATGGCAGAATTTGAATTTAGACAAATCTGCAGATGTGTAAAACGTTTTCATTACAAGCCGTCAGATGCAAAAGGTAGCACGGGGGAACATTTGAGACTTTGATAAATTTATTTGGTCACGTGTCATCTTTTCATTATTCTCCTGCTTTTTTCGTTAAAAAATTTTGAAACGAAATATCACAATGGTTCCGTTTTTAACTGCTGCAAGTTTGTCGAGAAATAATGATTAGTATGTTGGTCTATGCAATATGGTTGTTCAATTGTTGATCAACATTTCATGCGACGAAATAATGTTATGGCAACATAAAATGTGTGGTGATATCATTCAATCATAGTCTACAAATAATTATATTACAATGAATGCGGTAAAGTTTTGCCTGTACCAGCAATATATGATATGGCCTGCTTACTTCCTATTTATGCAGAGCAATCCGGTTTTTACGTTACCAGGTCCATTCAAAAGTTTTATGACATAATAAAGAATCATTTAAATTTAGAAATAAACAGTTCTTACTTCAAAGCAGGGCAAGTAGCTGACGCAAAGTCAGGATGATTAGATCTACACTGAACCCATTATTTTGGACTTTATCAGAAACGGTAAAATACTTACGCAATCTGCAGACTAATTTTGCAAGTTGAGGACGTACGCAGTGAAGATTTGTTTTGCACACATTTAGCTCATCTGTTATAGTTTTCACCACATGATTGGAGATCGTGTCACTCTCAGCGTCCATATCTTCTACTATCTCTTCAATTATGTCCAAGGACTGTAAGGATATAAACAATGTGATTTTAGGACACAAGATGTCTCTTTTCTCTCTTATATATGACAAATGAGAGAATAAGCAATATATTCTTATAAATGTATATAATGTACGAAAGGGACAGGAAGTGTTCAAACTTATAAAAAAACATTAAAGTACTATTTACATCACACACGTGTATTTTGAAGTTCTGTATGAAATTAAACTAGTTTGTATTGTTTGTGTTATGTTTTTATCTGAACATTTTCCAATTCGATTACATAAAGAAACAACCTCTAAATTTGGAACTGTTATTTGGCACGATATCAAATTTGTATATAGAGAATAATGTATTATAGAATTTACATGAAGATACTCAAAGTCATTCCCCTTCAGATTGAATGAAATGCAAATATCACAAAATTTCACATATTCGTGCCGTTCATATGAATTTCAGCTCAAATAAATCCTTAGCACAAAAGCATCTAAACAGATGAACACTAGTTCATTACTTTTAATACCACTACTAGATTAGATAAATGAGGCCAAATCAGAATGACCTACCGCGATATTAATTACATTTCAATTGCGATGTAATTTCAAAATTAAAACTATTTAACGAGGAACCTATATTGTCTTTTGACATGATGTGGTTCACGATATGTTACTTGTATAATATTTACCATTGATGTGTGAACTCTTGTAAAGACTTGCTTTCAATAGTTAAAGTTCTGAGTGTATACAAATTTACAACCTTTCAATATATTAAAATTTAAGAATAATTCAACTAGCACTAACGGTACTTGTATTAATTTTATTAAACAGTTATTACCCATTTTCCTTTACTGTTCTATTCAATTGATGTTCATAAATTGCAAACCATAACAGCAATTCTCGCAGAATAAAACGTTAATAACAATAATATTTTACTATATCTATTTCTTCATCGATATCAAAAGTGTAGAAAACATAACGCATGAGTTGTATCAATTGATATTTTCATGAGAAAAGGCATGCAAAGCTTAAAGAAGAAAGAAACTAAGGCTTGCATCAGGAAACTTATAGGTGATTGTTGAATGGAGCTTCTAGGGCTTGCTTCCTTGCTTTTATTTCAAGCTTTTAGCGGCTATTTAGACTTTAACAGTGATCAATAAAGAACAAAGTAAAAACACATTAGCTCATAAATTCGCACATTTAAAGACCTGGAAAAGACCCAATCGCAGGAGCCCTGCAGACTTAATAGCTTGCAATGATGTAAAAAATAAGACATTTACGAGAGCTATCGTGAAGAGTGGCATAACCTATGTTTCCTTTCAAGTTAACATTCACAGCTCTATGAATGAGGCATTTGTGTTTTAAAGATTACCAATACATACGATATATTTCAATGAAATGATGAAAAGCAAGCCTTTGAAATTTTCAGTTGTAAAGGATGGGTTCTGAACATGTAGACATTGGCATATATAAACACGAAAAAGTGCAATTTCTCTGGTAAAAAAATCTTCATCATATAAAGGTGTTTTATAAAATTAGTTAATTTCTTTGAAATTCTGTTTTTAGTTTCTAAAATGTTGGATGATACCTAAAATATATGACATTTCTCTTTTGTTGCTATAACACTCGCAAGTAAGTCAATTGGTTCACCACAGAGCTGTGTTATTCCCTGACAATTTATTGTATAAATTTCATAGTCTTGTTACATTGCAGATAAATAAAAAAAATGCTAGGACAGGTAATTTTGAAAACTGGAAATGATCACAGTATTTGTCTGGTGTAATCATATTTTAATGTATTGTGTGGAACTTAACACATTCCTAATGCTATCATATAAAGATAAAAGAAGAACACATAAATATATTACGTAAACAATACTGAAATTACTATTATCTCTTCACTTTATTAGGGTGACATCTTTTGTTTCTATATATCATTAAAGCGAAAGTGAGAATTGAAAAAATCCACTATGTTTTATGTCATAAAAATACATAATTTTAAGAACTCCACATGACTCCCTATTTTAATCTTTATAAAATAGAAGCTTAGACTAACAGACTCCTAAGATGTGAAACAGACACAAACCTGGGGCTTTGTTCCATTCTGAATTTCGACATATTTACTTATATGTTGCAGTCCATTGTGATGATGGAAACGTGGTGGGTTGTCATTAACATCAAGTACGGTTATGTTTATTCGATGTCTATTTGACGGGTATATTACGTCATCAATTTTTACTTCACATGTAATCTTTAATGGTTGAATACCGGAAATGCTGTCCGGTTGACCTTTGTTATCACCCAGTGATTCCCTATCCAGCTGTTTTATAAGCGTTACCTCAGATGTTATAGGGTCAATGCTAAACCGACTTTTCGCTGAAATTAATAAAAATCATAAGTCAAAACTATAAAAAATATGAACACATATATTTTTTTAATATGACTGGTTATTTCGTTTAATATTTAGTTTTGATGTATTGTACCTTTGTACATTGGACAAATATGTCTTACACCAGCGATGTCATATTAGCGACAGACACGTTATAACATAGCTTTTAAATTTTTAAATAAGGTTATAAGTTTTGTTTAAAAGTTTGTTTTAAAAAGCTAAGTATTCCTACAATAGTTGTTTTTTTAATATCAAGGAAAAATGAGATATTTAAATTAATTCTTCAACAATATATTACAATACTACTTATAAAATCTTAAATCCATAATGTTATACGTATCACAACATGACAAACAAAATATCTAGTTCAGGTTTGTTTAAATGCCAATGAATCCGATTGTGAAAGGTAAAGTAGGAAGATAAATTTAAACATTTTTAAACAATACCAAAAGATCAAAATGGGGTCGTATCAATATAAATAATGCTATCACTTGTTTTCAGAAAGACTTTCTGTGATTTTGTAATAAGTGCTTTTTCTTCAATACAATCCCTTTTGTTTTGCGCGAAACCATTCAATTATAGAGTAGCGGGTAAGTAAACAATTTTTCGCAACATGTGTGGATTTAAATGATTTTCAAATCTCTTGTACTAATTTCCCTTTTTAAATGAAAGTAAGCGTTCGTTTTTATTCCAATTTTCACACGGCGAGATTGATTCAGCGCAATTGTAGTTTTCAATTTCCGATTCAACTCAGTGTGCCTGGAAAATCTGTTCAGATAAATAATGTCTGTCCTTGTCAGTATAATAGAGCTATCAGTAAGGAAATGTCCCAAACAATAGATGACACGAATACTCCATTCCATTGATGGCCCAATTCCTTCTCGTATAAAGCTGTACATATCAATCAAAAAGACGCAATATGAATAAAGCTTCCGGATTATTGTTATAACTTGCATATTGACTATTGAATAACAACCATTGAATAGACAAAGAAAACCGTTTTCCATAGCCGCATAAAACAGTTTCTTACCTGCGATAACAAAAAAACGACCTATCTAGTTAAAATATAACAGGGCTTCAGATATAAATCCTTCATCTCGTAAAAATGTTTAAAACCTTACAGATACGTTGCATGATCAGATAATGTTTTTAACATTTCCTAGGTTATGCATATATCTTTTTAAGATTCAGATGTCTACAACCAAATTTATATTATTAATAGAGAAGCTCCCTATCACATTGAAGTATAATTACAGACATCCTTTCAAGCCATATCTGTGACAGTTGCAATTACTTATAATACGTTTTTTCTTGGCGGCTACAGCAATATTGTAAGTTTCTTGTATCCGCTAGGGTGTCATAGTGGTCTTACATACCAATAGCTTTTCACAATTCTCATCAATAGGCACGCATATCCCGCAGATGAAATCTCATATTAATCGAACAATCAATTTTGTTGGTATCCGGCTTGTGAAACGGAATAACAATCATGTTCTACGTGCAAAAATCCCCGACAAACTTTTATGAATAGAAACTAAAACATTCATTTCAGCCTTTAACATTTAAATTTAACTGTGTGTTAAATCATAATGCATGTTGTGTTTATGCCATCTTAAAGAATAGAGGATCGGTATTTTTCAGAGCAGTTTTAAAGTTCGGTTATTATTTGCACAACGAAGTGAAGAACACTTCCTTTTTTAAACATATAGAAATGTGATATTACATAACCATTTTTTGCAATAAACTGATCTATCTATGGATAAATTGTATTTTTTTTTATTTCTGTAAAACATTGTTTTCAAATTATATATTATCAGTTTTTTACAGAATTCAGTGACGCATTAGCAATCTGAAGTATTTTGTGTGTTACAAAACTATTGAATATAGGCCAAACTTTTATCAGACAATAATGATAGCCCTGAATGTTAAGCATGTATAGCTAGCTATATACAAGGAATATGATGCTGCAAACAATTATTCAAATGTATGATGACAAATATTGATAGGGCGACATGCACGGAACATTTTATCTTTTAAACGTCAGAGTTATCACGTTATTTTGACAGAAACCAGAAACACCTATCTATTAATCTGTATTTAACCAGTAAATCTGGAGGTGGAAACCAAAAGAAAAACGTCGCATGGTCTTCACCCAATTTTTTCGAAAAGGTCACATATTCCATATCATTTTTATTGGTTTATGTTTTTTTAATGTAGAGATAAAAAGAAAAGTTGTGTATATAATTTGTTAAGAGTTGCACCAATTATACAAATGCTTTATTTCTTAGAACTAGTGAAAGTAGAGAAAATGTTCTATTTTCATAAGCTCCCATTGTTAGACATTAATTCTTTATTGATATCTATCTTATTACTAATTACGTATTTGATCCTATCTGTACTGTCATTTGTTGAAAGTAAATATGTGTATATAGTTTACACTATATGTGTATCTTTTCTCAGACATCAATACATGCATACGCGAATACATGCGTTAATTAAATAATGTTATGACCACACGCGGTCTTGTTAAGCACTCGGCATTATGCATGCCTATATGAAATTACGAACTGTTTAATCAGTTAAAAGCATACCGTAATTCCCATTAGACATTCGATCGTTTCAAATACACTTTATTTGCTGACAGATGGTATTGTTGACATATTCTCTTGATTTATTTAAGCCTCCTACTTTAACTGAAAGGGCTAACAAAGTTAATAACATTATAAAGAGGACAACTACTGCCCGGGATGATGCTCGTGTTATTAATATGTATATATCTTAGGCTGGTGGGTGATTGTAATGGGAGATAGGCTGCTGTACGTCCTATGTCTTATTGGCCGTTTTACAGTGACCTATTTTTCTGCTAAAATGCATTTGTTTGAAGAATGAAATAAGGGAAGTGCACATAGGTAAATTATTATGTCTTTCAGGGCATGGCGTAGCTTTTTGGGGGTCCGTATTCTGTGTACCTTCTTTTAGCGGGTGGACCCTTATTAGAATAAGAACACATATATCTGAAGTAGAGAATTATGAGCAATGTTATTATTTTAGTGGTACAGACCAATATTTTGTTACTTAAAGAGTAAACAGACAAAGCTCACGTTTTTCTATCCTGTAATTTCTTTCGTATTTAAGGTCTTGCCAGCAGGTGTTCAATCGTCCTATCACTATATCTTTCACATTTTCTTCCACAACAAATGTTGAATCAGCAGAGAGATGGGAGAAACAGATGCGTTCAATAGTTAATTGATCAGGTACTATCTGGTTTGTGGCGAGCTGAGAATCCTCCTCTGTTTCATGAAAGTTTACTGTTACCATGGTAACGCTCGATACAACAACATCGTCTTTGTCTTTACATGATGCGGATACTTCAAATGAAACTGGGCCTGTAGAATATAGTTATTATATGAAAATACATTCATCGTGAAAGATGCATAATTAAACGAAAGATCATAATTGTGCCGCGTCACGACAAAACCAACGTAGTTGGTTTGCGACCAGTATGGATCCATACAAGCCTGCGCATTCACGCAGTCTGATCAAGATCCATGCTGTTAGCTTACCAACTATGTTACAATTTGAGAAACTGACAGCGAACAGCATGGATCCTGATCAGACTGCGCGGATGCGCAGGCTGGTCTGGGTCCATGCTGGTCGCAAACGCATTACGTTGGTTTTGTCGTGACGCGGCTCAATTATGTAGTTTAAGAGTACAACGGGCTTGGAGACAAACTTCGCACGAATCTTGCTTGGTGACATCTAAAAGCAGGATTCTGACTAAATAATTTGAAAAAAAATTCTGCTCTGCTGCTTTCTTTTCATAAAAAATATACGATTGAATAGATTTCAATGCGTTGATGACAATAAAAATATAAATCATTTAATGGGGCTTTGGTTTAGATATATTAGATCACGTCATTCTGTCTAAAATGGGATTTTCTTTTGATATATAATTTACCTGTGGCATTTTGTGGAAGACTTTCTTTTAAATAAATGAATCCCGTAGAATTTATTGCAAACAAAGAATTGTCTCCTACGACGTCATACATTATGGCGTCAGGGTGGTCGGCTGATATTCCACATTCTTCGTTTGCTCTTGGATAGGCATACACTCTGCCAACTATTGTTCCAGTTGTCGACGGTATATGCAAACACAATTCAGGTTTCCGGTGGGCAAAATAAACAGCTTCCGAGTCTGAAAAAGAATTGTAAATACAATAAATTGATCACATCTCAAATTTAATGAAGAAAAGTCATACGCTATTGTTTGTTCTGTAACTGCGCCTGATAAGCTTTTGACGGTCAACAATATTTAATGGTTTGTTTATTTTGGCATAATTTATTGGCCAGGTCAATTAAAACAACTAAAATGATTGATCTTACCTAAGGGAGCCTTTAGAAGCGCAATGGTGGAATTGGTTAATTTGTTTTAAATTGGAAAATTGTAATAATTACAGCATTACTGATGATAACAATCTATGATGATTAATGATTTGCCTGCAGACATAGCTTACAAGCTCGCACATTATTCTCGTGTGTTGTTTCACGTATCGATTGAAAAGGTATTTTTTGCAAGTGTCATTAGTTGCGCGCAGCACATAACGTATTTGGAAACATATCTAAACTAGGTCTAATTCTATTTTTCCGTTCAGATTATAAGCATTGTTGCTCATTATTTGTTAGTCTAATGGGAGAAATAAAACCGTTTACACTGAACATGTATAATTGAACAAAAGGTACATTCGACGATACAGTGTATCACCGGTTTTACGTTTTAAGCATTATCATTTAGTTAAATCAACACTATATTCGGAATTTAAGGTAAATAAATATCTTATAACTTTTACCATTACATAGATAAATATAAGAGCTCAATAAGAATATACATACTGTAATTGATCTGTTCTATAAGTTTTTTTACATTTGCAATCATAATCCCGCTTTCAAATACTTCTTAGAATATTTTCATAAACTAATAAAACCTATTATTGATTACAATGTTTTGATAAGAAAGATTTTGCTTATTATACTTTTTAATACCATTCGTAAAAAATCTAATCATGCGAACATACATTTATTGTTTTAGTATCTATAATTCATTTACGACAATTCAACCAGAAAATAAGATTGAAATCTTTTGAATCACAGCGAATGCTTAAGGTATAAGATTTGGATTCCTGTTTGGACGACATACTTGAAGAATCTGAGTAGAAAAAGAACCGTACCATGATTGGTTTCAACGTATAAGAGCACTTGTTTTAATGGAGTAACATTTTCAATTACCACGTTGTAAATAATTGATGTTGTAGTTGATTATATTCTGAGATTATTAATATGAAGTTCAGGCAGACACAACTGACATGCATATCGCCAATACAATCATACATTTTTTCTTGAAATGATTTTTATTTGCAGATGAAATTGATTTGTGACATTTATAACAAGAAATAACTTTTGATTTTGTTTTGCATGCAATATGTGTACAGTCACGTTTTCCGTTCGGAATTTAAGTCGACGTCTCAGACTGACGTCCTAGTCTTAGTATGATGTCTTTAAATTACCTTTAAATAAAGAATAATAACAACAATGAATTCGGAATGATATATTTGTATTTTTTTGGCATGCATTAAAACGATATCTTAAACAAATAATGCTGTATCAAAGTATATGATTGGATCATATTACCTGTTCCCTAAATACTCAAAAGTTAGATGCGAGAGTGCCTTGCTCTGCTTTGGAACAATAGACTATAAGGCTTTATTTTCATTCATTTTTAGGAAAAAAAGCAACAACAAAAAACCCGTAAAGACCGCCCTAAACTGCTAAACTTAAAATGTTCACGCAACTGTTGTTTAATACATATTTAACCATCTCTCTATAATATTTGATAGATTTTAGACTTGAAAGTCTTGAAAAAACACTTTTTTCTACTTATTTGAACGTTTGTCATATAATAATAAAATGAAAAAAAATATCTTAAAACTGAGATTTTGCAAATGAAAATACTATACACGTATATGTAGCATTTTGTAGGGACTTTGAACGAACTCGTACTCTTTGATAAAGTTGCCGTTTTCACTTTTATAACAAATAACTTTGTAATTATCTGACAAACATCGTGTAATTACGCTATTTAAGTTTTCTTTTACACCGAGATAAGATGTTAATCAATGAATATAGATTACATATTTAAACTTGAAAGACCAGTGTATGACGTCATTTCTTATAAATAGCGATCAGGTTTCAAATCGGATATCCTTCTGGTTATTGCAAGTCTGACGATATTAGATAAGCTGATAATCGGTTCTTGCAGGCGGATAAATATGCATCTACGTTCAGTGAAATAAGTAAAGAAAACAGTATATTTTGCATATATTCTATTTTCACTCACAAAATAGAATATTGAATAATTGAATAGAAATACTCATTTTTTTCTTTTACAGACAGCAGATGAAACATAATCAAGCCGCTTTGCTTTTATTTTTGATGATACAAAATCGCTCATTTTTATGTACGTATGTGGAAACACTTGTTAAATGTGAACTATCTTGTTTATGATGCATTAAGAATCAAACATATAATTCTACTTATTTAGTAACATTTATTTATTTAACATTTCTTTTTTAAGACATTTTAATGATTGCACAAATGCATGTCAGAACTATGCACAAACCAGTTCAATAAAATTGTAGTAAAAATACATTTTCCGGGATGCGGGACAATATAACACCAATAACTATTTACCATTATACTATAGACATAGTAGATTATTTCTCGTTTAAATGTAGTAAATATCTTTGTCGAAACACAGTCTAATTAATCTGCTCTAACAGAAAAAAGCGAATTCATTACAAGACTTCAGGAAAGCCTGGCTTGTCAATTACAGCAGAGCGGGATGATAACAATCAGTGTATCGGAAAACGTTGAAAACAACAGTTAATGAAATTCATATATGTAGAATAACATCTAATTCTTATTCATATCATAGGAAACAAGATTTAATTGCTGATGTAACTGATTAAACAGACACGTTAATTATTCGTGGCACATTTATTGTAATAAATAATTGTTCGAGAAGTAATGTGCTTAAGAGATATGACACAATTATCGTCAAAAAAACCTACTACGTATAAGAATAAAAACTAGTGTATACATTGAGCTTTCCATTGTTTAATTCACACCGACAACATCCTGATGCTGATGTTCTTTTTAATGTACGTACTGCAGGCTTGAAGAAAAACAACATACACTTACGACAACTATTTCGAATATTTTTGCATGTATTTGTGTGCTGGGTGTATCTTCTCTACGATTAAAAACATATATTTTCAATGTATTTAGTTTCTTTGTTATTGAATTATAAGAAAAAACACACACGAATACCTTTGGCAATAGAATTTTGAATGTTTTGAGGTAGATAAGAAAATTAACTTTATTTTGCAATTTCCTACTTCTTCTTTACATACAAGCACTTCTTGCTTATTCATGTCTTTCTATTTACAAATGTAATAGAACATTTCAAGCAATGAAAAAACTTTTTCACAAATTTTCATACCCTTATATGACAGAAAATGTTTGTCATTATGCTCCACAATACAGATCGATTTTCATTATTTATATTATATATTATTTTCTGCCAAGAAGAACTACCCCGGTGCCTTGTTTTCACTTATTGATTTTATTTTACGAAATCCCTTCCTCTTACTATTATACAACAATGCTTTGTATACGGGTCATCCTGCCTTTGCCGCAAAACAAATGATGTATCTATTGTAGCTCCATATCGCCGCCCCTTCTGTAAACACAAGCCTTGATAAACGCTAAATGACAATCACTATAGAATGAAAATAGCTTGAGTACGTTGAACCTTTTATCAGACAGGCAGACAGGCCTTGCAGACAGATAAAATTCCCCTGTCATCCATTATACCCAACAATTACCATATGTTTATAAATATTTAATAAGTTTACTTTCGTTTGTCACTTAATCATTTTCTTTTTTTATAAATAAATGTATTCACACTTGTCAACCGTTTTATATGAACATCAAATAATTTAGAAAGTTATCAACTTTATGTTTTATTACAAACAAGTTACTTAGATTCACCATCTGATTTAGTGAGTGTTTGATTACCCGTACGATGTTAGTATCTAAAATGGACTTGTTCATCTTTCAGGATGAACAAAATACCATTCATCATTTTCGGAACAATTTTATAATTAACACCGATTGAATATCGGACAGTCCACATCAAGATCAACATGATATGGCGGTGTTACTTTTGGACTCCACTGAGAACATAGGTCGTACCTGGTGCCGCAAACAGACTAACGATTAAAACGTTATGTTCTATGACATGCAAGGGTCCTTAAATAATTATCATTCTTAAAATTACAATTCTAAATGAACATATAAAATAGCTATTTTATTAGTTTGTATATGTGTATAACATTCACTTTAAGTTCTTTCTTTCATTGTCAATTTGTGACTATCGCCAAATAAACCCGTAGACAAAATATATTACCATTTGAATCATAATTACATTTACAAATTCAATGTTTAAACACAAATAACAAAATCTGTATTGGTTAAATATGAAATCAGAAGTGCCAAGGATTATTTCATGTCAAATGATTTCAAAATAAAAGAATCAACATTAACAAAACCAATTATTTGGACTTATTCATTGAACAAGATATATTTATATCATAGGGGTAATTATTTCAAACGTGTGTTGATACTAGTATTTTAAGAAGAAGAAAACGATGACGAAAAGAAGTTTAAAACAAAAACAATAGCAATAAGCTAAGAATTGTAAATATTGTTCATATTTGTTGATGATCAATATATGTTCTCCCTGAATCAAAATGTATTCATTGCAGTCTGCTTTTCTATAATAGAGTTTCTCGCGTTTTAAAGAATCATCGTATCTCTTCGACACTAAGATGCCACTCATTTGAATTGCTTTCATTACTTTCTTGTTAACGGATTTTACAAATATCTTCAAAATTTACATATATTTTAAACAGCATGGAATGGAATTTAATTATGTAATATGCAAGTAAATAATAAAAACGCTTCAACAAAGCGAAGGTATAGAAGGACACGTGAAAGAGAAAAAAGATAATTGACGTATGCTTGTTGATGACGCAGTTAATTAAGATCAGACATTTTCAGACATAGCTTTACGTGATTCAAAGGTACCCCTGATGAAGATGTTTTTAGACCAGTGATGGCTTTATACACTTACTATAAAATCATAGAGATCTGAATATTGAAACTCTTTGATTTAATATTGATCTGTAATCAATCTGTCAAAGTCTCGCCTAATGATCTTTTCAACATTGAATTAAAGACATGAACTCTTTGAGTTTAAATGCAATAAAATAAAATTTATACCTCTTTTGGTAAAACTGATATCAGCATAAAGGAAAAGAATAAACTTCTAGCCTCAATTAAAAGGGAGATATATATATTTGTACAGTTATTTTTAGATTCGCTTTTAAGAGTAATGTTGCCCGTATGCTACGGGAAACTATTTTAGAATCGACTTAATGAAATATACCACAGCACAATTAACTTGTTTTAAAAACTCTATTTGCAAAAAAAGAAAACAATCACATGAAGGTTCAAATACTGTATTTTCAATTCTATTACTCAAACTGAGATTTTTTAAATACTTAGTAATCATTATAGCATTTTAATCACAATACATTATTATTTTTTGGGCCAACTTTGGATGGTTATTTTAGACAAAACTGAATAGTGTCCACATGTTGTATAATGTTCAATATACTTTTGCCTTATCCTTTAACATTCCATTTTGTTTCCTTTTTGTTTCGAAAAATATAAATAAACATGTTCCTTATTTGATACATTTCAAGTTCTTAAAAATATAAAAGTTTAAGAATATAAGGAAAAGCGAAGTCTGTTTTCGATTAGATTAAACTAAACAATTCGGAAAAATACACGGAAATTCCAATTTCATTGATTTAAACAACTATTTACAGCAGTTATTTTCGCTTTATTAGTATCTTTTATTAAAAAATAAAGCGATCTTAAATCTATGAAATAAAATGCTTACACAGCAATTTTACGGTAAACCCTTTTTAAAGAAATCACGTAGTAAACAATAAACACATGTTTGTATCTTGGGACGTAAAAAACAGACATAAAAATTACTGGATGTAAATAATATAACACCAAAACGATTCACTTTTTCAGACGGTGCTTCTTTGCTGATTCTTTGTGCGCCAATTAAACTAGGATCTTATAAATAATTGTGTCTATGGTTTTAGGCAGATATTTGTGGAAAAGAATAGGAATAAGAATCACTTAATAGATCAAACGTATATATAGAAACCTCTTCAGACATTAACAATTTAATATGATTCCTGTCTTAAAATGTGATAAGATATAATGACATTTCGAAATGTTTTGACGCAATTTTTGAATACGCGAACGAAGGTGATAGTCCGCCTATGTCTGACATCGACATCTGCTGTAATTATAGAAAAGGATTGAAATATTTTAAGATCCAGCTTACATTTAGTTAATCAAATTTATCTCTTCAGATTTTCACTGTTTATGCTTCATGTTTAAATGAAAACATCAAACTTACTCATCCGATTTCATCTATCTTTATAATGAGAACAGACAAGAATCATTTTTCAAACAGAAATAACGACAAACAAATTGATATTATTATCCATTTGGTGTAGTTAAAAAGACATCTACTGTCAAAACAAAGTGAAACCATATTATTTTCTCTGTCTACAACTGTAAATCAAAGCATTGCTTATAACAGCGGCATAATACAGGTTTACTGAAGACAAGTATTTGAAATTTATAGCTTAATTAAGGCAGACATTTGAACATTTTTTTTAAAGTTTGCGACATGTATATTACATACTTTTGTGAATAAAGTGCGGCGGAAACGTCCGTAAGTAAGGCGTAGTGATCAAATTTGTTTCGCGACATATCTATCTTTTAGTTTGTCTAAAAATTTATTATTAAAGCTTTTTGATAATTGACAGCTTATTACATATAACAGACAAAATAAACGTTAATTCAATGTATCAATCTGAAAATATCTATCAATATAAAATACCATATACATGTATAAATATTTATGAAATATCTTAACAAAAAACAGTGATTGATTTAACTTCACACATGTATTAAAGACATGAATCTTTTAGTTAGTATCTACTCAATTTTAAAGCTGCAATAGTTGAAACATTTCAGGACGAGCAATACAATGTATATTTACAATAAAAAAAAACAATATACAGTCTCATCCTATGTAAAATTACAACTATTTGCATCACAGGCGTGACCGTCGGTCAGTAAAGTCAATATAATCACATAGTTGATATCAAATCATCATCAATCATGACATCGTTTATTAGCTACAGACCATCCTTTGTATAATGCTCTTACGTGTCATCATGACCTCGGTCTAATCCTATTCTAACGTTACATTTACTTAGTAATAAAATATTAACTTATACTAGATGTAAGCCTGCTACATAAATTGCATAATGGACATGAACTAATATTTCAACTATGATAATACGTACTACTTACCTATAAAATAAATGAATATCAATGTCAATGCTAGGATGCTGGCTGCTGTCATATTGAAGTGTAATCTATGCTGCTATATACATGTATATCTGAAAAATAAGATATAATATATTTGTATAGAAGATGCAATAATTAAACATTATCAGTAGGAAACGTCCATTTTAAAAACACAAAATTGATTTATATGACACTAATTTTTGAAACACATCTAAAGGTGGGAAACCCCTAAATTAAAATTTTAGTAAGGGCAGATAACTCAAAAAGAAATATTGTGACCCCCTATTTTATTTTCAATCATAATTCTTAAAGAAAATTGTGTTAGCTACTTTTAAATTTTCATTCTTTGCCCTTGTAAAGAACACTAAAATTTCCAAATGGAGGCAGTCTACCTTATGAAGCGTACATCAATAACAAATTTGAAATAAAGAAAACATTAAAGAAAACATATTTAAACTTTTAAAACTTAATGCAAAGACCAATATTGTACATCAATATCATTGATGTTACATGAATTCATTACCCAGTAAAACGTCAGTAAGTTTATATCAGTTTATACGACAATCTGTTAAAAATGATATGTCTTGATAGTTGGGCTTAAGTGAAAATTTTTTTTTGCTATTCTTCTTTGAAAAGCACATCTAAAATGAATGTTAAACCACTATGGAATTTTTACGACATCACATCTTTAACATCTCACATTTTTTATCCGATAAACTCGCGAACGTTTTTTTATGTAAAATATATCTAAAATATTTAAAATGTTTAAAATAAATCTAAAAAAAAAATAAAATGTTTAAAATAAATCTCAAATATACATGTATGAATAAGGCTTATACATTTTATAATTTCTCGACGCTATCTTTAATATACATGAAATGTACTTTTATTGAGAAATTGTGACATGTTCTGGTAAATATTTTATATTGTCTCATGTGTTGTGTGTTTCCAAAAGAGATTAAACATCCAGAATTACTTGCCACATGTGCGTTGATATTAAGTACCTAACAGCAACATGGTATAAATGGTATATAAATATATATATATTGAAGGCTGATAAGAAAGAAAACTGAATTTCCTTAGACACGAGATATGGAGTTTGTTTTTATTTTGTACTGAAGCAATATACATGAACATCACAATTTAAACTCATTGCTCTTTATCATAATTTATAAATGAACTCATCTCTTAGAGAGAAATACTATTGTGTCTCCCGGACTGTTCTCATTTCTTATAGCGTAATTTGGACACAAACACTTAAATAACAAGATAAATTATAAATCATAAATGAGCCGTGCTTGATAATACTAACTGACACTTTTCCATTGTTTAGTGATTTTTTGTTACGATAACAAAACAAACACAGATAGTTCAAGTAAGCTGAATCATAACTTCATGTAAATACATAAAGGCAAAAAATACATATCACACATATAAAACGTTTTAATGTCGAATATAGAATTTCGATAAAAAATGAAGCCTAATATATTTGCCTACTTGGAATTCTATAACTATTAAAGTCAAAACCTAAATCAGCTTAGATGTTACTGATTAATACTTGATGTCAATTAGAAGAAATTTCCCAGTGCATGCGTTCACATTACCTTTAAAGAACCATTTAATATCCTGTTAGAACCATTAAATTGTGTGAAGTACAGGAGATTTATCGGAAATAAAGGAAAACTTTGATTAGGTTCGAGTAGTTGTAGGGGAAAAGAATTAAACTAAGATGGAAAAACGATGGATGCAGCTTTATTTAACAACAACAGATTCTGGCCATTAAAGTGTATATTGACAACGTAAAATAAGAAAGTTATTATTATATAACAATAGATTTGTGTAATCGAAGCAGTCCAAAAATGCCTCGACATCTTAATTGTTCGAATATTTCACGTCTCACAAAGTGTCAAAATAACAACTTTAGTAACTTTATAAAACACATGTAAACTCCATAAAATATGTGCATAACTCCAACTGTTGAGAACAATAAAGTTACGCAAAAGAAAGATAATTGAACCACCTGCATTAAATGTGAAACTAGATTTATATAAACTAAGCACGTGTTAAAAGTAAGATGTTACGCAAAAGGGTCAAACATTGTTTGTTTATCAAACGCAATTTATCTTTAAGCCGCTTTAATCTTATCACGTCTTAAATCAGCACTTTACTTAACCAATATGATACCATGCACCTGTATTGAATTACAAAACATCTAACTCCATAAAATACTCTTCATTCATTAAAATGTAACGAAAAGGAAAATAAATTAAGTTGAAGGGATTTTAAAATCACAAGTTGGACACTGAGGCAATAAATTTGATCACCGAGGATATATCGGATAAAGACTCATTATTTGAGAGTACAATAAACAGAAGGCAAACTTGTTTGTAAATAGTTTTTGAAATGTCAAGTACCTGTGGCTCACGTTTGATATTTGTAAATACTTTCAAGGTGTTTTTGATAAGACTATATTACAGGACACTTAAAAATGTAACTTATTTTTGCACGTTTTTAGTTCATATTATTGTTGACATAAGGATTTGTGCTTTATGTTATATACACAATAAGAAATGTTTTTGGCAAGTGATTGTAGGAAAGCAATAGGTTGATTTTGTTTTTATTTTAACAATTTTTTTTAACTGGAATCTATCAACTGCTACCTAAATGTTACCTCATGCCAAACTTTATATTTAACAATACTAAAATTAGACAAACCAAACTGAATTATATAAATAATTTATAACTTTAATGCTATGCAATATATTCATACAAAAACTCTGAACACTGGGATTACTGGAACTTTAAGTAATTTCAATTGATAGAGTTACATAGAATATGTTAATTCTCTTATCAAGCTTGTATGAACATAATATCTTTTAATACATTTTTGTTGTTGTGTTTTTTTTATATAAGATATGTGATATTTTATAAGAAATGGTGTAGTTTATTTAGATAAAAATGTTGTTGACAACGAGCAAAAAAAGGAGAAAAAAACAGCAATAAAATTAACTTCCCACATACTTTTACATCTTAAAGATGCACAGTCCTCTTCTTGAGATTTTTTTATCTGATATTATAATAAAAGTCACTCTTATAACACTCTTGACTGATAACAGTCTTGATTGTGAGGTGACAATTGTTAACCTTAATATCTGTGTATGGTTATCTTTAGAAAAAATGCTTGGTGGTCCTATCTATTAGACTCCTGGAACAAAAACGTGATTAAGCCTTTGCCACCAATAAAAAGCCAGGTCAGGTTGTACGTCCGTACACTCTTAATATGCTCTTAACTGTAGTACCATCATTGTACTTAAAAATGAAACCGTGTTTCAAATTTTTAAAAATAGTCAAGGCAGTGCAAGCCCATTGAAAATTCTACAAGCCAAGGGTTAAGCTAGATTCTTGACTCAATGGGCGGTCAAACATTGATACTGTTATTTCAAAGAATCATCAATTAAACATACATTCCGTTTGCCAAATCGTTTTACAATTCTCTTTCATTAAGACTTGAATTTCAAAGCAGAAATTAGATATTTGAATCAATAGTATCTTATCCAATAAATGAGCAGCGACCTGACAAAATCAACATAGTGCGTTTGCGGCCAGCATGGATCCAGACCAGCCTGCGCATCCGCACAGCCTGATCAGGATCCATGATGTTTCTCTACATGTTATAGGGTTTGTAAGCGAACCGCATGGATCTTGATCAGACTGCGTGGAAACGCAGGCTGGTCTGGATCCATGACGGTCGCAAACGCACTATGTTGGTTTTGTCGTGGCACATTTAATGTTATGTCATTTTTCCGTCTATGTCTTATACTATTATACAAATAGGCAATGTTAACCTTTCTTAGGGAAATATTTTCGATTGACAGATAAGTTAGTTACGATTATTCCAGCTGAAGTGTTGAACAATAATTATTCCAGCTTATATTTATTGTTTAAATAGCACATTAATTACAATAAAGGCAATAATAAGATAAGGTGTATGGCAAAGGTGACATATTAACAGTCATGAACAAGGCCGTTAAACAGATTAATTTTCACCTGATAATAAATAATAAAGCATACACATATTTGAATTGCTAAGATAATTCTTAAAAGTTGATTAAACCTGTCATGGGTAAATTCCTTTTTTTAATGATAACTGAACACGCTGTTGAGCTTTATATTAAAAAGCATACTAGCTGAGCAAAAGCTATCGTCACGTCAATTTATTTGATCCATTGATTTAATAAGAGTATAGCTTTTATATCATTAATGCACTAATGCGTAAAGTTGGAAGTGTTTTTAATTAAAAAATGCAGACTCGTAGTTTAGATAAAGTTTCAATTTTTTAAATATCTCTTTTATAGGCTCTTACATAAAATACGTTTTGCAGATTATGTGCTTTCAAAAAATATTGATTCTAATATATGTAAAAGAAAAATCTCTACCGAACTTGTTTCCGCGTAAAATTAGATTGAAATTTCGTGCTTAATCCTAGGTTATCATAGAAATAGATTTTCTTTTGTTTTCCATGAATTTAGATGAATTCGTTACAATTGAAAAAAAAAACACCTCTAGGAAATATTGCTTGCGCTGTTTTGAATGCTACTAAAACCACTTGTTTTTGAAGACGATTTTATGCTTTGTAAGCTCTGTATGATAACAAGCTTATTTTATTTTTTTAAACGTAAACACCTGCAGCCTTGTTGAAGAGAATATATCAGCATTACTTTATATATTTAGAAAAAAAATTTGCAAAGATTTAAAACTTCACTGTTATAATAAATATGCATAAAACATTGTAACTTACCTTAACATTTAATAAACCAACAGAATAGATTAGTTTCCAACATACCTTATCTTCAAAAACATTTTAAACATACTGTTCAGTTGCACAAAACTTATATATAAAAAGGGGTTTGCAAACAGAAAAATAATAGGTTTAGCTGCGACAAGCTCTTTACCGTGTGTAACAGTATACTTTTTCCTAATGTATTTGACATCTTTAATCTTTAAAATTACTTACAACATCTTTTAAATGATATATTGAATATCATCGAAAGTATACAGTAGTGAAAAACTAAAATACTTATACTGTAACCGAATAGGAAAATGTATTAATGATTTCGATTTGAGATTTTTATCAAAAGAAGGCATTTTTTATAATTACAGTCGTTTATTGTGTTATTTTTAAATACCGTTGTTATTCGGTTGAAACTAAATTGCTGATTGGACATGTTTTTACCAATAATCGTTTTAATCTATGTTTCGCATCAATACTTTTGTTTATATGAAAAGCATGAAGTTGCAGATCTCAAACATGAAAACAGATTCAATGGCTGGTTGCAACATGATTCAAGTTTTAATTTGAAACAATTATTTACAAATTTAAAATATCAAGATGGTTATTTAGTGCTTTTGTCTGAGATCTGTATTTCAACAATGTCTGTTTTAACATTTGAACATTTAAGTCGCAATAAGTTAATGATAGAGAAACATAACTAAGATTCCCCTATCGATTGACTCATAATGGTAGGAATTTATATAAAAAATTTGACATCGCATCCTTTTGCTGGATTTCTAACCAACAAAGTCTTCTCTAAAGATGTCTTGGAAGATTTGAATTTATATTTATTTACCCTATTAGTATTTATAAATTGTTACAATTTGAATATAATAAAAATTAATTTAATATTATGTAAGGTACGTGGTTATAATATAAAAATGTAAACGGCTTAAACATGTATTGCGAGGACTGTAAATAGCTCTTTTTAAAGACGCATTGTACAAAAAAGTTCATGAAAAGTAATGATAAGTTGTTGATGAATTTAAGAATGTTCTTATTTCTAATTTTGAAGTAGTGGTCTTATGTAACTACATAAATAATCACAGTGTCATCCATCGTAATAAGTACTGAGTAAATAGCTGTACGAATGCTTTTATCATTATCTGCTTTATGTACCTACATTTGTTAAAATTTATACTTGTTAATCATGTTGTTCTTATGTATAAGTACTGCATATTAACCTGATTATGAATAAAAGTATTTGTCTTTATCACGTATAACTAGAGTCACTGATGTTTATTTATAGACATTTTCAACAAACGTTTATATATATTACTAATTTTTACACTTTAGTCGGCTGTAATTTAACTCTTATACTTTTTCTTATAAGTTTTAAAAGTTATAGGATAACATTAACACAGTATAGACTCATTATTTTTGTAAGTGTGTTATTGGTTCATGTTGTACTGCATTCATACAAATCGTCCAGTGTCGGTATCATGATATATGTGGATAAAGAAATTAGTGATATTAGAGTTAGTTTAACTGTAGGAACAAAGTTTATTTTAGCTGTTGATGTATTGGGTTAATTTAATTCTTATTACATATAAAACACATTTTAATATTATATATAATAGACAATTTTGTCGGAGATTGAAAGAAACTGATCTATATGATATAATAACAATTTTTCATGAGTTAAGTAAGTAAACATTAATATTCTGAATAATAAAATCCTTTTGCTCTTAAAGAAATTACACTTTATCAACATGCTAAATTTGTCACAAATGTGTATAGTTACCTGTTATTTTTTCCAGGATAATGTTAACTAGTCCACTATTCAGTAGCACTTCCCAGATTACTAGCTATTTAATTCAACTGCTTTGAAAAAGTCAAAGTAAGTGTCATTGTTAACTTTAATAACCAGTCAGACGAAGAATAAGTGACATATTTAATTTCCCGATGTGGTATGTTTTCTTCAAATTTACAACAAGCATTGGCACTTTCGGTCGTATCGATGGAAAATAAATCTATAATTAATCTTTAATATCACAAAAGCCAATCCAATACCATCTCCTTTCTAGATAACAATGTGTATGAAAGAGTTAGATTCTGTGAGAAAATCGGAAAACCTTTACTGGCATGCTTTACCAATACAAACAATGGAAAGTCTCATTATATTAGTACGTATTGGAAAATATCACGGGACAACTTCACATGTCTGCTTTCACCAGTTAGTCGTTGAAATGTAAAACAAACCCAGCAAATATTGCTAGTGTTCTTTTCTATGTAAATAGAATTAGCAAATACTTTGTTTTTCTAAACTTTTAAGCATTTGATTTCAACATTTAAATGTATTTCATTCCCACGATATCATTTTTAAAAATAAACGTTCATATTTTTAATTTATATAAGGCTGTTAATTTGCATCTGCGTATCTTCCAAACCACATCTAGCTGAATTCGTTTAATGGACATGTCTTGGTTTGATTATAGTACATTCTATTAAAACTTTCATGGATTTAAATATTAATATACAAAAACTGAGCCACAGACAGTATAGAGCCTGGTCAGATTGCACAAATATGCGAGTTGGCCTGACTTAATACTGTCACTTTCGTTTCAAGCAGGTTTAAACCCAGGACTTTAAAATTTTAAGTTATCATCCAGAACTACAGAAAAATATCATCTTAACTAATACAGAACTACAGAAATAGCGCCTTTTGACAGTTCTTAGATGATTTGGATTATCGTTAGACTTAAGGCCCTTAGACTATTTGTAGGTGATAAGAAACTCTTTAGCAGTTTTAAATATCAATGACTGATATTTTCAAAATATTTCCATGAATGTTTTTATTGAGATTTCTCATATGCATGAATTAGCGCTTAAGTGTTTTAATAAGTCGTAGGTAGCCTTTGACATTAGAAATTTAATATTTGTTTTACTTATATGTACAGGTATAAAATATATATCCCATAAATAACATCATAATGTGTTTTAATTGATCAATAATTAATCAGTATCAGTATTGCTTTGTCAAATCTTATGTAGGAGTGGCAAAAACGTTTTGTTTTGTTAACATAAACTTAAATGCTAGTGGGTTTGAAATAATCGTTACAAATTTTCATTATTCGTATTTGAATATTCGGAATGTGTAGGCAAATACATTGGCTGGCTAAATGATTGCGTGGACGCATTAAAAGTTTCTTAAAAGTTACTTGTACTGAAACCATTGAAAAATCATGGCGAATGTATTTGTTTCCCAACTTTTGTTACGCATTGATATATACTATATAGATTATTTTAAATATAAACATCTTTTCCTTATTCCTAATTCCAAGAAATCTGAGTCTATCAAATGATAAAAGGAAATATTACATTAGTAAAAACTTTCATCTATTTGCTTGTCTTTCTTTTTTTTATGTCCGTTTGTCTGTTTATCACAATTTCTTAACTAACAAATTACATTGTAATACAGAATGATATCATTGATATAAATAAATACTTACAAAAATAAATTAACGAATCTTTTCTTGTTCCTATTAATCTGATTTCTATCTTATTTCATATATAAGTACACTTTTGTATATGTTACGTTACAAAGAATAAAAATAATCACTCACTTATCCTATAAGATATCAGTTATGTTTTAGAAAAATAAGCATTTCATTGTTGCTTGAATTAAATGTATGACTATAAGGGATGATCCAGAAATACCAAGAATTAAGCCACAAATTCAATAATTCAATATTTTTTATGCAAAATCAAGACCCATTTTTGTATCAGGCAGTTTATTCAATGAACATCGCATTTTTGATCTGCGCCGCAAGTGCGTTTCCATGGTTATTTAAGGCGACCTGAGACGGTACTGGATGCCATTAAATCAATTATATTTTGCAAACTAAATAGATGCAACATCAAACTTTACGCAGGTATAAATTTAATCAAGACAATATGATTTTTTCAGAACTGTAAATTAGGTAATTCTAGATCATCCCTCATATTTCATAACAATTTACTTTTCATTATTAACTTTTTCTTGTTTTTTTTAATACGTATTATTATTAAGCATTTTCCTTTTATTATTTCGTTTATTTCAACAATTTATATAATACTATCAACAGTATATATTTTGTTTTATAGTTTCAAAATGAAGTATTTACATAAATTCAACAATACTTCACACGATTGAAGCATTTATTTGAACGTATATGTATGACATTTTACATTATGAGTTCCCTTCTTTTTGTAAATCTAAGGTGAAGAAAAAAATATGAAATGAAATTCTTCCTCAATATTTAGCGCATATTCAACATCATTTGCCAAAAGTATTATACTGTTTATTTATAATCTCTAAAACATAATTTACATGAAATATTGATGAAGAAAGTGTATTTAATTAACATATTTGAAAACAAATTCTACCAAATAAAATTAAACTTATTTTACATGACCTTTTTTATTTCTAAGCCAGACTAAAACACGGCATTGGCAAAAGCGCGATTGAGTAAAGAATTAAAAGCACTTAAGTCATTAACAAGACTTTAACTTAACTTGACAAAATGTCATATTGCTGTTATTTATACAGCTTTCTTCTATTATCCACTATTTCAGTCATGTATTACTTTGAGCTAAATGAAAAATACAGCGATAAAACCCATATTCAGGAAAAAGTACCATTTTAAATAGGATACCATTTAAAATTATCGGGTTTATTTAGATACCTACCACGTATTTTTTATTAAAGGTATTATAATCATTTCGATTGAGCTATTGATTGAGGTTGTTTATGATACAAAACGTATAGTTTCACAACTGATATTGAATTGATCATATTTTAATGGTAACAATGACTTCTTTTGTATAATGACTCGTGTCATTTTAAGCCTAAGATTTATAACAATCAATCTGTCGCACGATTAGAGGTTCAAATGACAAGAACATCTAAATGCTTTTACTTTCCAAGCGAACAAAAAATAATTGTGAGCATTATCTGTGTGTATAATCTATAAGCATGTCTTACTTTTAAAGGGCATGTGTTTTATAACGGTTAAATCTAAATGAACAGGGTATATAAAAATTTACAAATATGTGCATTTTTGTCATTGGCCTACAAATCAAAAGTTTATTTCACTTACCACTAAAGACAAATAAATAAATAAAGTTTCTCATTTTCAATAAAATTTCAGACTTTAATACTGTTTAGAAATTATTTCATAAAAATGCAGTCATATACTGTTCACCATTTTACAGAAGATGTTGAAATGTAAGAGGTAAATTTACAGCAACAAAAAAAAAACACCCTCACAATTCATTGCTACATGAAACCATATTCTTGCCCTTTATATGTTTGCATAAGTTGTGATTTGATATGGCTACGAATGTTATAAACTTTAATGCCTAATAAATATAATGTTATGTTATATATTCCCAAACACTAAACACGTAACAAGATTTGCAATTCTTTATATAATATATTATCTGTTCTCTTTATTATCCCCTAGTCCATCTTTTGAGTATCTTTATATTTATTCTACAAGCATATTCTCAGTTGTATATCTACATGACACCTAGTCACCAATGTTTTACATGTTATAAATGTTGATAAAGAACATTGAATTAATATGTTCTCCCATCTAAATGTTTATACATAACAAGACTCTTGGAATACATATTAATATAGAAACATAAATGGATGCACTTGATTGAAACAAACTTAAAATGAATATCTTTATTTGATTTCATTTGTTTTAATACCGAATATTGTGATAAACGGTTTTCAAAACACTCTATGCTCGCATTTGTCTTAATGAAGAGCTCTCTTTAAAGAAGTAGATTATGTCTGGCCTTGGTAGATAGAAACAACACAACATCTCTATTGACGCAGCACTAGAAGCTCTGAATTTAATTTTAATGCACTGGAATGTACTTTCAATTCGTTCTAACAAACACTTACATTTGAATGTAAAAGTTTTGGTTATTTTCTTCATCGAATATAAACTATTACATTTTTCTTCTTTTAACTAGATAGCGCTTCTCTCTTATACAAGATATTATGGCAAAAATGGTTATTATAGCATCAACAGAAAATGTTTTAAGAATTCCAAATACATAGCGGCAAGGAACCTAATTTTCCTACATAAGAATATATAATACCAATTTTAACAAAAGTTTAAAAATGTATCATTTGATTACATATAAAATAATAGTTCTGATTCTAGGTAGTTACAATAAATCTTCATTTAAGCTAAAAAATGAGGCTTTAAGAAAGTCCAGCCTTGACTGAGATAAAATATATAAAGAACAATGTATTTGATAGCCGAATCCTTAGAATTTCATTTTATCAAAATGACATTAGAAAATGCGACGACGTTCAAATTATGAGAATGGCTTCTGTCTAGGAAAGTAACTCTAATTTAAGAGTACTTAAATTTTAGCTTCACTTAATCAATCATTTTCAATATTAAATCTATATCCTGACATAGGACATGTTTTGCCTTACATAGTGAATATCTGTCTTTTCAATTATGAAGCAGTTACCTTCTTTCACAGGTATACTACTCATAAGTCAATCCTAGCAACAATAAGTTTGTTTACGATTTTCAATTTACTTGAATCTAACCTTTACATTTAGGTTTATATTTGGATTTTGTTTGTACCAAAATATTTCAAATTTTGTATAGATCATCTAAAAGTATTTTTGTTTTTATAACTGCTATTCTTAAATCAGGAGGCCGTACTGAAAATAAGTGAACACGTTTTTTTTGTGTAAAATTTCTTTGTAACCTTCTCAAAATAAAGATTTTATTATTATCATCATTTATATAGTCTTTAAATGTACCAAATAAATTATTTTGACATTCTACGTCCACTTGTATAAAAAACATAGTGAATAAATGTCCGATTTTTCAAAAGATTCTAAATTATTCTTGACGGGTCACATATGACTGTTGAAAAGATTTGTGCTTGATTAATTAACTATCACAACATTTCAAAGGCACATGTGATACACCATATGCCACCCTGACTGAAAATCAAACGTGAAGTTGGCTATCTATTATTCCGATAAAGGTTCATGTCATGTGATACATGTCATACATGTGATACATGTCCACTATTGTGGAATACATTTTTCTTTTCTGAAAAAATCGTTTCTTTTCTTTTCTCTGTTTCTCAACGTTATTTGCGATTCATTACTT